ATAAAAGAGACATCATTCTTGCTAATTTAAAACCCTGTTGAAAAGGCAGCTTCCACTGAGTAAAGAGTATTAGTTATTCTTTTGGACCCAGTGAGGAGTTTACTTGATTAACAAAAAAGAAAGAGCCAGTAGAAATATGTGATGTTCAAAAGACCAGAATAAAATGAAGACTAAAGGCACTTTTGTGGTGAAAAGGTTGAGAAGTAATGTTGCTGCTGGTCAGTTTGACTGACAATCAGCTCGTCAAACTTGAACTATGAATTAAAGTCCTGATTTTAGACAAATTTCACAATTAGTGCTTTTGGAGAAGACGTGATGCTCTCTCGGAGCTTTAAGGACTGTCAGTATGTGGTTTTATGGATAAGTTCCCTTGCGCACCTCTAAGCCAGTGCTGTGATTGTAAAACATTCTGCCCGGCAGTTGGCAGGGCCACGTTACACATGTGACATGCAACAGCAGCTGTACAGCTGTGAATAATTGTTAGCAAAACTAAAGGTCAGCAGATTTGAATTCTAAATAATTAATATTATTGTCAATTTTCTTGACACAAATGGTAGATGGATGGATGGATGGATGAATGGATGAATGGACGCATGGATGGATATATACCTAAAAAAATCACTGCATGCTGCGAGAACACAACAGTGGCAAGGGAAACTGCATTCCTGGACCTTGATGGTGAAGTCAAACAGCAATCCTTGCTCCCTGAATGATCTGAGCACTTTCAGAATCTGCAGTCCGTGGGACGCAGACGCTCGCAATGGCATCCGCCTTTCTTGGACACCGTTGCATTGTGGACCACAGCCAGTTTTACCACTCAGAGGGCTGGTGCTGCTGGAGTTGCAGGAGGTATCCACTGATTCTGGATCCATAGCGCTCAAAAACCTACCATAATACAAAATTCAGCTGTCAAACTTGTAATATAGTTGAGACAAAATATGTCATTTTATAAAATTATTCTTACTGTATTAATGTTGTGTGTAATAGGATAAGTATGACTAATATATAATGCAAAACTATTTAAGTAGAGCAGTGCAGGGCAAAGACCTGTCTGCCTCTCTGCTATACAATGACAATGCGTTTAGCTCAGTTATTAAAGTTATTAGGACTAAAATAAAAGTAACATATTCGTTTTAAATGTTCGCAAATTATATGAAAATGTGAAGTAGGAGAGAACTCACAAACAGCACCTCGGACAGTTACCGTTCTGACTTCCGGAAACGTGAGGTCGCGCGATAACTCGGTCAACTCTTTTTATTATTATTATAATTTTCTTCTTCTTCCCGTCGGCATTTTTGTTTCTAACATCGTCTCCAGCGGGGAATCATTTTCTCAACAATAAAAACGTACTCGGCACAGCTATAACTTTCCCAGAGTTGTGTGGTCTGCAGCAACGTTGYGATTTTCAGTGGAGGGGAACGCAATGATTCCTGGGAAATGTAGTTCATTCTGATAAGGTCATCATGATTCTCAAAACGCTGTGATTTTCTGATATTGAGTATATTCACACAGACCAAACACACCTATTTGTGACTCCATGTTTTCTTTGTTGCTTTAATACAAAACTAAACAATATAAACAAACAAATAAAAAACTTAACAATTATATTTTATATGCTAGAAAAATGCTACAAAAGACAAAACATGCATTGCATGTTGTTCAAACAAGAATCATATACACTTCATGTTATACATTTTAAGCAATTTRTTTAAACAGTATAAGATAGTTCAAATAACTGAAAAATAACCATTCTCATAAAACCCTAAAATTCCTAGTTTTATGTTGGTCCTTGAATGCAACGCACTCAGAAATCTTGATATGTTGTTCATGCCCACTAAGTGGCGCTGTCTCACTGTGGCGTTAAAAGGGAATCGTTACGCACTGAGGGGATGAAATAAAAAAATAAAAGTAGAATTGAACCAGTGAGCATGAACTTCCGACTATGCTGCATTTTTGTTTATCCACCAAGTCTCCACGTTTAGAAGTAATAATAATACAACTCTTGTCTGACAAAAACATTGTGTTATTGTAGACTAATAGTTTTATCAATAATAGCCCTAAGCATAATAATATAGAATGTGCATATTTTATTATGAACATAATTTTCATCAATAAAGTTGACTATTGATTGATGTAGTTACATTGAACTCATCTGATACATATATTTATTTTTTCCCCTGTTTTGTAGTGTCAGGTAAAGATGGAATATTTCTTCTTTCTAATATTAGACACCATCCACTTTACATGATCAGTGGGTCGTGCCCCCACCTCTCCTTGCATCCCTCCCTCCCTCCTTCCTTTTCTCCCTCCCGGCGGCRGTGCATCCCCATCCCCCACACACGGTGGCCGTCTCTCCGGGTGAAAGCCGTCTTCACCGCCGCCACTGGCCCGACACGAACGCTGCTGCAGAGCCAGTCCGCACCGACTCGACGCTGAGCTAACACATAGGAGAGCGCTCGGACACACAAGAAGAGCAGACTTTTACTGTTTCGACCTGAAGGTTTTGGTAAGTTTAGTACGCTGCTTAATGTGGACGGCAGAAATGTCCATGTGTCGACTTTTTAAGTTTTTTTTTTGTCTGTTTTTTTTTTTTTCTTCCTCCGTATCCCTTCAATTGTCCTCCGTGAGGAACTAGCGGGCTATGCTAAGCTAAACGGCTAGCTCAATTAGCGGAATGTACAACTTGGCGCATCGCGAGTGTTTTTTTAAGTTTTTTCCTTAACCAGGCTTCAGTTTTCTTCGTATTGTCCCGGTCGGACATATTGCGTTTTTGGTTCTTGTCGTTTCTAATCTTCTCCCCTCAGCTGGCTCAATAATTAGCGGATTTGAGCAGCGTGTGTGCGGGATGGATGCAGGGATGCAGCATCGGCGGGTTAGCGGTCGTCTTTTCAGACGAGCTCCCAAAGCTAAGCTAAGCTAACATTAGTTTTTGACACGCACGGTTTCCTGCGTGGAGTGGCTCGGTGAGGTTCAAGCGCCTTTCTGACTGAGCTAATCTAGTGATAATTGGCAAGATGGCATCTCGAGGTTGTTATCCAGAAATCGGTGGGTTTTTCAAAATGGTGTCTAAAGCTTGTTTGAGTGTGACCATTTTTTTTTTGTCCAACCAGCGCTGTTTTGGCTTTGCTCTCTATCTCTGGTATGCAGAGCACTGCCAGTGCATGCCATGCTCCGATATAACCACTAATGTGGTGGTAAATACAAATATTTATAAACTACACCGTGCCCTCCGGGCATTGTTGTTAAGAAACAAAGTGTGTTTTGGAATGTAGGCTGTGTTTGACAGTTTTATGATGGCACAAAAAGTCATTTTAAACCAGACGCTCGCAGGTTGACCATTAAAACAGACTTGAACATGTGGATTTAGCCACACAATTAAAACATTTTATATCTTATTAGGTAAATCCTGATCGTGAATATCAGTACTGATAGGCTCTGTAATCAGGAGATATTTTTCCTTTAAATTCTTGGGTTATTTGTTAGTAGTCCAATATCTACCTGCGTTATTATTATTATTATTATTATTATTATTATTTACAGATAATGGTATATTTTAATTACAATAACTAATATACTTAAATTAAAAAATAAGATCAGGCAAATACATTCCATCTGTTAAAAGTAGTTTGACTAATGAGTTCGATTGTTGCTAATTTATAACTCATCAAATATAGAAAACAATGCAGAATTGTTTTCATTTCATGAAGTGTATTTTTCTTTTATGTTCCTCTGGCGTATAATCAGCGGTATGTCTTTTTTCATTCTCTCTTCCTTTGAAAGGGATCACAGTGTTAGGTACTGACCTTTAATTCCTAGTTCTTAGGGAAACCCTGGTGTGTCTGAAGGAACTTTTGAGATCCAGTTAATCTTGGGTCTTCCTGTTGTGCATACGGTTTTACTTGTTAAAGTCATACTAGCTGTCAAAATACGTGGTATTTCAATGTTTTACTATTGAATATCATGCATATAATCAATAATAAATATAAAAAAACAGATAGACATCAATCACTACAAAAAACTACATTTAAATTGTTTTATAAATGAGTAAAATTAGCAATTATCTGTTGCCAACAATTAAAAGTCATTGGTTTACATTTGAACATTGACGAGTTCACCTGGGACAGTCTCCCTGGATGTAAAAAGCCTAAAGGAGAACAACAGAATCTGAGACATCAGGTTGAAAGTGAAAATATAAAACTCTTCTGCCTTCTGAATAGGGTTGGGCAATATTGACAAAAGAATATTATCACGATTAATTGGGGTATTTAGCCAATAATGATAAATTTGACGATTAATCCCCTGGAGTCCCTGGACACCCTTATGCCCTAGTCACATGACCTATTTAGTGGGAAAGATTTGCTTTTCATAAAAATCTGTTTCAAATTGTGTCAAAATTACAGACTTCAGGCTATGCATCAAATTTTAAATTGTGTTGATAGATAAATTAATCGTATTAATCGTCAAGTGCAAAAAATAACCGATTAATTGCACACGATATGATTGTGCCCAACCCTACTTCTGAAAAGAAATTGTGTGAGGATCAGAGTTGACATAGGCAGAGTCAAATTAAATGAGAAAATCAAAATTCTGAAAAAGTAAAAATTGGTGCTAAGATAATCTGTAACTAATTCAGTTGTAAACAAAGCCAAGGGGTATTTGCTGTTTTCTAACACAATTTTTAAGAAAACCCAGATGAGTTTGTTAGCCCCACAAAGAATCATTTAATAGTGTATAAATTGTGTTAAAAGCTTAAAACCAAAAACACTGAATAATCACATATATTGGCGGCACTCCAAATAGTTTTGAAGACATGAATATTTAAAAAAACATCATGTCATTGGAGATTCTCTCAGATTATTTTTCACCTGCAGATAAAATTCATAAACAAAATAAGCTGAACCTAAAACAAACACGGCTGGAGCTATTTAAATACTTTAGATTTAATGTTTGGTGTAATTGAATCATCAGTCTAAGGTGACCCCTGCTGTATTGTGTGTGTGTGTGGTGTGGGGGGGGGGGCACGTGAGGTCTGGCCCTCTGTGTGAATGGTGGACTGTATAATGCAGCCATAAAGCTGTCAGACTGCTGAAAGCTGCAGTCACTTAATGTTACGACAGAAAGTGGTTTTCTTACGGACCGTCGTCTTCTCAGCGCTTCATCTCTGTGTGACTCAAACAGTTTAATGATTTGCTCGATCAGTGAATAAAACAGATGGCAACGAAGAAATTCAGCCGTTCTGGTTGAACTTTTTCAGTTCTGCAGCGCATTTATTTCGTTTAGTCACATTTATCACATTCTATTATATTTTTCCAAAAGAGAAAAAAAAGCTCTATTCAACACTTTCATGTGTTTTTTACTTGTAGTTCATCACATAAAAATAATCTTAACTACACTTGTTTTTTATTAGATTGTTAATGGTATTGAAATATAGTCTCAGCTCTGAGTATGTGTCACTCTAAAATAACTGTTGTCTGTAAATATCTGTTGAATTTGTGTACTCGTCCAACATTTCCAAATGAACCTTTACAGAAAGAAGCATGTTTCAAGTAGGGGTGTAAGAAAATATTGATACACTGAAATATCACGATATTTCATTTCCCGATACTGTGTCGATACTCCAAAGCCCTGTATCGATTTTAAATTAAGGTTTAAAATGTCAACCTTCTTGCCAATGGTTCATTTTTATRTTGTAGTTCAGCCTCTGACCACTAGTTGGCAGCAGTGAGCCAGCCAGTTGGCTCCTCTACCTCTTGAGCACCAGAGAGTAAGGGTAGCATTAGCGTTGTAAGTAAACATTAGCTTTTCTTTTTTTTTTTTCCCCAGTAAGAGGTTTTTATTTAATAGAATTTTTGGACAAAAAAATCCCAATTTATCGCAAAATACTGCCTTGCTTACAGTATCGCAAAATATCGGGATATATCGCATCGTGACCCCTCTGTTATGATATGTATCATATCGCCAAATTCTTGCCAATACACAGCCCTAGTTTCAAGAGTCCAAGTTAACAAAATCATCAGTTAGCAATTATGAAGAAATTTYATAAAATTGTCACCCCTTTAAAAACTGTGAACTACAGTTTGGTGCAGCAATCCACTTCATTGGTTTGTTTTATGTGTGTAAAATGAAGTGACTTGTTAAATAAAGCTTTGTTATCTCTTTATTGATCTATACTTTGGTCATTTATCGCCGTTGGAAGTGTGTTTGTTAGTATTTTACAGCAGCAGGTGTGAGAAGTCACAAGTCATAACAGATCAGGATAAAGAGTTGAAGTGGCCTCTGGAGATTTCAGCTGTCTGTCGTCTTAGKGGTCTGAGAAAGTGTGCATGTATGTGTGTGTGAGCGTGCACATCATCATCAGACTGTTATTTAATTAGTGATGGTTGTCTGCTCTATACACTAATAGTATTTTTGCTTTAGTTCAGTGCAAAACATTCGATTGAAAAGAAAATACGCACAGTTGACACCGCATAGAAAAACAATGGAACAAATACGACAACAGATACATTTTTACTTATACAGTTTAATAGTTTAAAGGATAGCATTGTTTAATAATTGGTCTCCTAATGACTAGGATTGATTAAATATAAGCAAATTGTTGTTTTAGGTCTTGCTTTTACCTTTTTATTGTATTTTTAAACTGATTAAAAGTTTAGTGTGATATGAGCTCATTCCAAACGTATGTACCATAAAAATACCTTTTTATATAATGAAAATAAGTTTGAAATGCTTTGGAAATGAATGTTTCTGTTTATTGTTTAGAATATTTAATTTCTAAACTCTGGTAGTGAAGATGCAATATAATGAGGGCTATTGGTTAATAACATTGTTGCACAGTTTAAATAAGCATCAATTGTGTTGTTTTGAAGGAAAAATGTGACAGAATAAAGCACTAATTTTAGAGAGTACAAGTTATTGCATGAATCAATTTTTTTYCCATTAAGTTTTTATTAATGTCTCTCTTTTAAATTTGACCTGAGTAAACGACGGCTCGTACAATTTTAATTTTCCCTGGCTGACGTTGATGTGATCAGACTCCCATTAATTGTCTGGTTTCTGCAACTCGCACCATGCACAAACACCCACACCACATTGTGCCTGGTTGTAAAATGTTATTGTTTGTCTCGTCAAAAATAATCACACTTTGCAGCTAAGTGTTTTTAGCTTTTAGCCCCGGTAATGTATTATTTCACTGGTGTAAATTTGTGCTGTTTTTATTAGAGTACAATAAAGCTGTTTGACTTAAAACAGCAGTGTTGTAATACCAAGCTTCTACAGGAGAATAGAAAGGATTTTACAGTTCTTTTTCTGTTTGCAGATAGTGAAAGTCAAAAGTTTGGACACACCTTCTTAGTCACCTCAACCCACCTCACTGCCTCGATCCAWTCAGAAACCACACCGATCCAGCCAGAAAGCGTCTCAGTCCCAGACTGAGGTGTTTTGTGAGAGCCTTTAGATAATTCTAATGCATTGATTGAAGGGTGACTGTAAACATATGATTTTATTTGT